TAATATCTATTAATATGGTTATTACCAAAATTTATTCGACTTTATTATTTGATATGAAAATATCAAACACACTTAAACTTTCTTTACCTTACCTTTATTTTTTAATTTTGTGAATCGTGCGCGCAATAATTTAGCGAATTTCTTCAATATCGCACAATGACGTAAAAGTCGGAATCACGCGCGCTTTTGCATTACGATGCAACTACGTTGTCGATTCTCATGTGAATGATACTTCAGCGCCGAAGAATAGCATTACGACAATGGTAGTGAAGACAACGTTGCTCTCTCAGAGAGACGGCAGAACGGTCGCAACAATCGCTCTGTGCTCTCGCTTAGAAAGGAAACAGGCTTTCGTCATTCGGCTTTCCATGATCGTTCAATTATTCAACGCTGCTCTCCGCGTTTGCGCGTCTCGCCAGTCACGACAGACAAGTGTAATGAAATATTAACACGGCGTAATTAGAATTCAATTGGACGTGCTCGGTGCAATCCGGATTTATATGTTCTGGACTCGAAGAGCATAGAGCGTGTACCACATACGCTTCGTTGAGAACCAGCACTATAACCAGTACTATTTGCCGTTGCTCGGTAGCATCATTAATCATCTTTGTGAGGCGTAAATATGTAAAATTAAGTCCTCGACTGTATTACGCGAAATGAAAAAGAGAGAGAGGAAAATATTAAAACCAATTGTGTCAGAGAATTAATGTGAGCTTTGTGTATTGTTTATATAAACTTATAGCTGAATTTAGTAGACGCGAAGATTTAATTCAGTTTTGACATGAATATTTTGTTATTTTGCATGACCACTTACTGAAATATGAATATTTCGTTGTCTATTTCTGCGATTTTCAGATAAAAGATAAAATGCAAACATAGCTAATTTTAAAAATCTTATAAAATAGAAATTTGCTAGAAACTCGACGTATATACCGTGAAATTAAATGACGCTCAGAATGTTATAAATTTTCAACAATGCAATAAATTTCACGCCTTTAACGATCTTTTTTTTATATTGATGTCTATTTTTGTACTTGCTCGTTTTTATAATTTCTCGTTTAAATTGATTGGTCTAAGGTTGCTCCGGTACTATCGTCTAGATGAGTTTTTGCGTTAGATGCAGATAGAGCACATCTGTGTATTTTAATAGGGGTATTAGCGATAAATTTAATACAAAACGCAGTTAAGATCTTAATCTTCAGCTCGTTTAAGTAAACTCATTACGCGGTCCTCACTTTGGAGGAAATATAGCAGCAGCAGCAGCGTCGTTAGCATAAACGATGACTCCTTCTCTCTGCTCGGCTGTCGAGCTACATGTTTTAATACGAAGCTCGTTCTCTACAAAACAAAGAGAATAAACTAGTTGCGCCAAGAGAAGAACCTTTGTTTCTTTATTAACGCGTCTGTTCCAACACATTTGATTAATTCTTCAGATTAATGTCCTTTTAAAGTTCTATCTATGCGCAAAGCAGTATTGCTTGTTGAAAATTGAATTCAAATTTAACTGTACCCGAATAAGCTTGCTTTATGTGCAATTTATTAGTGAACTCATTGAACAAGCTTTGCTCTACTGATTTGAATATTAATTACATTTTTTATTTGTATATGTAATTACAGAGATAATGAAAAGAGAATGAAGAGACAGAGAGAGAGAGAGAGAGAGAGGGGGAGGTCTGAAATATTTTATTATGTAGTAATTTGAAAATAATAAATTAATACCGAGAATTTATATATGTTTAATTATTATCACGTAATATCGTAAAATTTAATAAAATATTCCAATAGATTTTGATCGATACATTACTTGCGATAAAAATAGTATTTTAAATGTGTGCTTCACAAAACTTCAATTATCTCGCAGAATTTATATAAAGTGTGTATTTATTTTTTATTTCCCTTCATTTATTTACTTTTTTATTGAAAAATTCTTTTTGGACAAAATATTAATCCACGTGGAATATCGACTCCATTTTCTAAATATAATTCGTTAGCTGTAATCTCTCTGTCTTAAATCGCAAAGTATTCGCGGGTTAACTCGACTCCGTTAACAAGGTAAATTCTCCCTCGGCAGATCTCGGTGGTGGACTTCATTGACGTCATTACGATCGAGGTTCGCCAGAATGCTGCGCCCACAGTACGGAATAGTTCGGGCTTACCAATTGTTCT